GCCGCGAAGTGTCTAGGGCCCAGTATAAAGGGTAAATGATTTCGCGGGACATCGGCGGGTCCTTATATACCTGCGGTACCCTCTCCCCAAAGTCATTAGCAAAATCGTCGGTTAGGTCAGGCGGGAAATTTTCGCGGGAGATTTTCGCGGGAGATTTCCGATATCGTAACACGGTATAATTTATCAATTTTCACAATTTTATTAAAAATTTATACTTCCGACAATTTGTTATAACATTGCATATAACAATTTATACGTTTTTACAATATTCTTCAATGGAAACATAGGTTTTAGCGTTCTCGTTACTTACTCGTGGTTAAATTAATTTCGTAGGGATTAAAAATCAGGTTGACCTGTGGTCGTAGATTAAAAATAACCATAGTACAGCTAAATTTATCGTGTTAAATAATTCTTCTTACACGAATGAAAAATGTATTCAACGTTTGCTTGTTACAATACCATGAAATAAATTATATTACACATTTTCTCTATTCACACTGAATTTAAAGATTATAACGATTAAAAATCAAGTTGACCTGTGGTCATTTATCAAGAATAATCATAATAAAGCTGAAATTATTGTGTTAAATAATTTTTTTAATACGAATTAGGAATTTATTCAACGTTTGCTTGTTACAATACCATGAAATAAATTATATTATACGTTTTCTATATTTACACTAAATTTATCGTTCTATTCTAACAAGCAAACGTTGAATAAATTCCTAATTCGTATTAAAAAAATTATTTAACACAATAATTTCAGCTTTATTATGATTATTCTTGATAAATGACCACAGGTCAACTTGATTTTTAATCGTTATAATCTTTAAATTCAGTGTGAATAGAGAAAATGTGTAATATAATTCATTTCACGACACTAAAACAAACAAACGTTGAATACATACAAATGTAACGATAGAAATTATTGCAATAATGCGTAATGCAATTGAAAAATTGAAAGAATCAAAAGAAAAAACGCGAATTCTATCGTAACACGGTATAATTTATCAATTTTCACAATTTTGTTATAAATTTATACTTCCGACAATTTGTTATAACATTGCATATAACAATTTATACGTTTTTACAATATTCTTCAATGGAAACATAGGTTTTAGCGTTCTCGTTACTTACTCGTGGTTAAATTAATTTCGTAGGGATTAAAAATCAGGTTGACCTGTGGTCGTAGATTAAAAATAGTGATAGTACAGCTAAAATTATCGTGTTAAATAATTCTTTTCCTACGAATCAAAAATGTATTCAACGTTTGTTTGTTATAATATCGTGAAATGAATTATATTACACATTTTCTCTATTCACACTGAATTTAAAGATTATAACGATTAAAAATCAAGTTGACCTGTGGTCATTTATCAAGAATAATCATAATAAAGCTGAAATTATTGTGTTAAATAATTTTTTTAATACGAATTAGGAATTTATTCAACGTTTGCTTGTTACTACTTGTTACAGTATACTGTCTCGCAATGTAAATTTAAGTAAATTAGGTTGAACTGCACAGAAAATGCACAGAACTGCACAAATAATTTATTTCATGGTATTGTAACAAGCAAACGTTGAATACATTTTTCATTCGTGTAAGAAGAATTATTTAACACGATAAATTTAGCTGTACTATGGTTATTTTTAATCTACGACCACAGGTCAACCTGATTTTTAATCCCTACGAAATTAATTTAACCACGAGTAAGTAACGAGAACGCTAAAACCTATGTTTCCATTGAAGAATATTGTAAAAACGTATAAATTGTTATATGCAATGTTATAACAAATTGTCGGAAGTATAAATTTTTAATAAAATTGTGAAAATTGATAAATTATACCGTGTTACGATATCGGAAATCTCCCGCGAAAATCTCCCGCGAAAATTTCCCGCCTGACCTAACCGACGATTTTGCTAATGACTTTGGGGAGAGGGTACCGCAGGTATATAAGGACCCGCCGATGTCCCGCGAAATCATTTACCCTTTATACTGGGCCCTAGACACTTCGCGGCGTATTTTGACCTGAAGGTTCTGAGATGTGAATAGAGTGGTCGGGGGCTACTAGCTAGTCTATGTCCACCCTGTACACACTCAGCCTTCTTGTAACACTTGTATACATTAGAATCAATTAGAATTTCTATTACTAATTATTAAACAAATTTTAACAATTACCGGCACTCGCTAGGCACGTAATATCAGACTTTAAATACTCGACTTCGAACTTCGGTTTAGTCATAATTCTATTAATGTTATAATAACGTATAATTTATTAATTTTCACAATTTTATTATTAATTTATACTTCCAAAAATTTGTTAAAACATTACATATTATTATTTATACATTTTTGCAAGTTTCTTTGACAAATAAGTACGTTTCAACGATCTTATTACTTTCTCGTTGTGAAATCAAGTTCGGAGGATTAAAAATCAGGTTGACCCTTGGTCGTAAATTTAAAATAGCCATAGTGAAGGTGAAATTATTATTTTAAATAAATGTTTCTATACGAATTAAGAATCTATTCAACGTTTGTTTGTTGCAATACCGTGAAATAAATTGTATTATATATTTTCTCAGTTTAGACTGAATTTAAAGTTCGTAAGGATTAGAAATCAGGTTGACCTGTGGTCGTAGATTAAAAATAGCCATAGTGAAGGTAAAATTATTACGTTAAATAATTGTTTTTATACGAATTAAATATTGATTCAACGTTTATTTGTTGCAATACCGTGAAATAAATTGTATTATATATTTTTTCTGTTTACACTAAATTTAAAGTTCTGTTTACATGTTATAACAATTAGAATGTAGACGTTTTGCCGTTTCACGGTTTTTCCTCTGTTAATTATGTGTTTATAAATCATTTCAAACTAAAGCAGCACCATGCCCACCCTTAATTAAACCGTCTCAGTAGTTTACCGTAATTAATAATCTATTTTTGGAATTTATGCGAGAATTTTTGAATTTTAGTAAATACTAGAGTCAGTGCATCGCGTATTGAAATAATAGCTTCATCCCTAGTTCGTTTATTATTGAATATTTTTACGCGTTTAACTTATGCTTCTCCCCAATTCTCGTCGCGTATTTTATTCAAATTTTCTTATATTCTAGAATCGAGAAAGATATGAATTCGCGTTTTTTCTTTTGATTCTTTCAATTTTTCAATTGCATTACGCATTATTGCAATAATTTCTATCCTTATATTTAATTCTAATTGTTTAGCAGCTTTTCTGCTGCTATCGACCCTACATTTTACTGACACTTGTCGAATCGACCCTACATTTTACTGACACTTGTGGAATCGACCCTACATTTTTTTTTTTACGTGGAGTTACGCCGACTCTAAGTGATAAACAATTGGGAACCAAACGGTGGCTCTCCCTCTACATTCGACGGATAATGTGTACAGGTATTTACTGTAATTTCTTAACAATTTGTTTTTGTAATTTATTCAAAGCGATATATTATGAAATTAAATTAATCACTCAATCAGTTTTAACGTTAGATTGTTTCCTCGATATGGCCATGGTGGTCATCAGTGACTGGAGTGCCTCAAATGTTTACAATAATTACAATAGATGTTGTCAACTAAAAATTTTGAACGTCATAGCTAGCTAGACATTATTTTCAATTGAAAAAAAAAAATTATAAAGCATAATACTATAATTCTATGCTTAAAATGTATTTTCTTGTGGTCGCCTGACAGCAACCTGTAAATCTGGCGCGACAATGAACGTGTTAATAAGTAAATGTTGTTAAAATTATATCGTGTTTGATATCATTTTCATCAGAAAAATCTCACCAACATGTTAAAAAAAATTGCAGATGAAAAAAAGTAAATTTAAAGAAATTATATTTTTCTATTATGATTTGTCGAGCCGTGAAATCTCGTAAAGGAAACCGACTGGTGTAGCGTTACACGCTTGACAGACTGCGAGCGAGATAACATAGGCGCAGCAATGACGTAGACCTAGGCGGAGGACCATCTATACTGTCACTTGTAGAATCCAAACTTACTGACTCTTGTAGAGAATTTACTGTATAGCAATTAAGATTGAAATAGAAGAGTGACATATTATTTACAAAACGTGAGGCTTATACTGCAGTGATTTCCAAGAGTGATAAATTTGTAAAAGGTAACATTTGAGTATTGCAAATTGAACTACCATTGAAACACACTTATCAGACCGTACATTGCTATCCTTCTATTATTTGAAGAACTTCTTTGAAGTAGTACAAGTTTTAAGAGTCAAAAGAGGACGAAATTATTGAGAAACTGTATATAAAGAAATTTTCAAAGCAATTGTTGAAAATAATGCAATAATATACAATAGATTCAATTGTCGATAATTAGAAATTATTGAAATAAAGAATGAAAACTAACGATACATAAAGATTCACCAACTTTTAGACACGTAATATTAATACAACACTAATAAAAAAATATCGAAAATGAAGAAATAATTAATTATACACAATTCGTCACACAAGAGCGTACTAAACAACTCGAAATTTTCTATAATAGTAACAATTCAAGTGAACTAACACTTTCTCAAGTTATACGAACAAAAACTACAAAATTTCTTTGATTTCTAAATGAATGTAAAGCAGATACTTTTTAACCCCTTAACGTATGATTTCCTTTCCTGCCTATATCTAAGCGTCAGTTATTTACTATTTTAGTACTGTATTAAGTAAAAAAAGCTGATGTATTGTAGATTAATTAAACTTGCCAATCTTCAGTTTTCTAAATTAGATCGAAAATTGGAATTAAAATTTAATTTTTGTTACCGATATAACTGTTTTTATCCGATCTTGACCAAAATTTCTGACTCGAGTCCGACTGGTTATCACACGACAAGGGGTTAAGGAGACAAAACATTAGGGTAACTGTGTTTTTTTTTTTTTGTAATTTTCCACCAAATTTTCTAATACCTATTAAGATTTATCAATGGTGACAATTTTATTCTGACTCGTACTTTGTATACCATAGGGTCGCATGCCATTCATGCGAGCAATGAGTATGGAACAACGGTGGCAAGATCTGGCGTCTCTTTTATCACTACCTGGTGCACCAGACCACTTTGCACATCCCGCACATCCTGGATACCCAGGGCACGGTATAAGCCACAGTCATTATGAAACACAACGTAATGTATTGCTTCATAATGCCACTCTGCCCCCACCGGTGGGCGATCTTAATTCGACGAGTCCCTATCACAATGTGGGTGAGTGCTCTATACGAATATTTTCATTTATGTTCAAAATTTCATTTAAACTTTCAACCATTCTGAAAAATACTGTGCTAAACTAGTTATATTTTTGTACATTCTCTTTGCATTATTTACTTACCAGAAAAGTCTGAAAGCTTTTAGATCAACTAAATTATTTAACAGTATATCAATTTTTAAAAATGTTATATTTCATTTATTTTACCGTGTTACCACAGATTTGAGAAATTAATTATTGCAAAATGTATTTACTGTTTTTGAAAGTAATATTTGAAATTTTTAAATGTAGTTAGAGTCAATAGAGAAATATTTGGATCAGGAAAAGTTTTGAAGTTATTTAATTTCTTTCTTTCGTTTTATATTATAAACTCAGATAGCTTCAGATGGATAATAGGTTGTTCAACACTGAGCACAATTACCATCTTGATATTGTGCAAATTGTAAATTGATTTTCGTGTTCACATTTTACACAATTGTATACAATTGCATATGTTGAAAATTAAATAGACATTAATTATCATATCTCAAAACACTGTTCAAATATTTTCAAAATATTATAACGCATAAAGTAAATATTTTTTCACGAGTAATGTAATTGTAGCATTAAATAGAAATAGAAAAATAAAATCTGCAATTGTTTACTTTCTTTTTTAAT